CTCCTGTTGCTGCCGACACGGCCGCACTGGGCCCAGCCCACTGCGAGAGAATGCAATAAAGTTTCTTAAACGCTCACGAGGCCTCCTGGCCTGGCTCCTTGCCGGCGGGGACCCCACAGTTTGGTGCTGGAACCCAGGATGCACAGGAGCCCGTAGGGACCCCCACCCCCGGCTGCGGGCTCCTCCCGACCACACTGGCCACTCCAGTTTGCGGTAAGAGGCACTTGACCTGCTTTGCTGGCTTTGCCCCACGAACGCCCGCGGGCGCGGGGCTGGGGTTCACTTCCGGGCCGGGCCCTGACCCCCCTGTAAGGAGAGGAGGTGGCACCTTTGAATGCAAGCAGCTGGCAGGCCTGCTCCCCCACCCCCACCTTTATTCCAGCCTCCTTAAGGTTGTCACGGTCATGTTACCCCTGTTACAGACTGTATCAGGAAAATGGCTTAGGTAATCATTGGCTTTAAAATCTCATAGAGCCCTGACTCGTGTGGCTCAGTGGATAGAGCATCGGTCTGCGGACTGAAGGGTCCCAGGTTCGATTCCGGTCAAGGGCATGTACCTTGGTTGCGGGCACATCCTCAGTGGGGAGTGTGCAGGAAGCAGCTGATAAATGTTTCTCTCTCATTGGAATTTCTAACTCTCCCTCTCCCTTCCTCTCTGTAAAAAATCAATAAAATTATATATATTTTAAAAAATCTCATAGAGTTGTTAAGACAGTAAGTGTAACTGAAATGAAGGGTTTTTGGTAAAGTTTTCCATTTCTTGACTCTCTGTAATCGTCCTTCTCTCTTGTCATACTTACTCCACCCACCAGATCCTCCTGCTCTCAAAGCCCCCTTCCACCCAACCCTGAGGCTTCTGGTCAGTCCTCCCCGCCTGTCCGGCCCCTCAGGCCCTCCCTTCCTCTCTGACCCCCCCAGCCTCCTCCCACTGCCCCTCTGTCTCTGGACTCCACCCCTTCACCCACCACCTCAGCCTTCTTACTGAGCCCCAACTCACTGGTTCCAGACAACCCAGCCTCCAGCCCTTTCCAGCGTCTGCACTGGACACGTCCCCACCACCTCTAGCCCTTTGTGGGGATTCTCTCTCCACCCTCGACCTCACTGGTCACCTCCTTGGGCAACATGCCAACACAGTGCTTCTCCGCCTCCCACTCACTCCCCCCTGGATCCTCCACTGGAACCGGGAGACTGGACACGCTTCCAGCATCCAACAGCCGGGGGACCCTAAAGCCCAGGTGGACCGGCCCACACCAGGTACTTCTGACCACACGAAGGCGGCCAAGTTACAGGGCTGTCCTTCCTCACTCCACTCCTCCAGGTTAAAGTGAGCCCCTGCACCCCAGGCTCCACCAGTCCGTTTGTATTGGAGTGTCAGCCTCGGACCAGCTCGCCTCAAGTTCACAAAAATTCCCAAGGAACTGTAAGTCCCTTCACTCTCTGCACCTCATAGTAGCTGTTCCTCTCCCTCTCAGCATCCACTCCCCACCCCCACGGAATCGTACCTCTTGCCTTTCCTGTGGGACACGTTCCTCCCAGAGGATTTTCTTGACTATTCCTGGGAACAGATTACAATCTGGTTAAACCTGGCCCCGTGATTGACCAAGATACTCTAAGATCTCCCCTCTTCTAGTGCCTGGTCTTCCTGTGGGTCATCCTTATCATCCTTGATCTTCTGATGTACCATTACCTTATGTCACCTGATTGGAACTACGCTTAACACTGTTAGGGTTGTACAATGATCTCCCTAATCCTTCTCCCCTTACTCTGTACACAGATTTACCCCATACCTCTAAAAAACCTCCTAAGTCCTCACTATCTCTCTCGAACCCTAGACCTAACACATCACCTCCTCATCATAACCTGTTTTCCCCTCTTTTCAGCTAGCTACACGGCAATCCCAGCCTCCCTACATACATGGGCCGACTCCAGTCTATCCTTCCACTACAAGGTACATGGAGGACTCCCATTCCAACTCATGCACCTCGATGAAATTTATAACTTCAAAATCACGGAAATGACTAAAGGAACACTCACAGGCAGGGCTGTACAGTTACTCCAGTCATACTTAACATAACTGAGCACTCCTCCAATAAAGGCCCCATCTTAAGACCAGTAACAACCAACACCGTCATAGTATCTCAGGCCCCTCTCTGCATCAACAGGACACACCCTGCAGGAAAGGTTTTAGGATATCTTGATCAACGCCTATGCCACTTTACTCTTGAAATTCAGCCCTCTTTCAAGCGTTGGGCAAGTTATATAGTTACCCAAACAGCCTACTTCTCAAAGCCTGTTCAATTCTCAGCCTGGCCTACCATCTCAGCAACCTTCCCAACAACTGACACTTCCCAGTTCTGTTCAGGTCGACCTCTTTCCTGCATTAACTACTTCCCCTGGCAGGATTGCAAATCACAATTACGTTCTAACTGCCGCCAAATCCCCTCCCTTGTCCTCACACACTCCAAATTTTGGGTAGACACTGACAGAAAATATATTTTTTTTGAGAATACCACCACAGGGGCTACACAGGTCAATCCTGAAGGCCCTTTTCAGCTCCTTACGGGGGCAACCTTAGCTGGAACTCTTTCTGTTTGGGAAAATGAAAACAACAAGCTCACTCACCTCTTCACCATCGAAAAAACCTTCTGCTTAAAAAATCAAGGAATCTTGTTACTGTGTGGTACCAATACCTACCTCTGTCTCCCAGCCAACTGGACTGGGACCTGTACCCTAGTCTATCACCCCTGAGATAGACATTGCCCCTGATAACCAGCCCTTTAAGGTTCTCACCGCTTACTCGGGGCCAGGAAGGACAAACTAGATGATAGGGCCACAAAAACTGACAGCTTTCAGAACCCTGGGGCACCTGGCCACAGAATCTAAATTGGACCTCTTGGCTTCTGCCTTCAGTTGGATCCCTCTTAATGTTCTTTCTGGCACTGATCTTTGGCTCATGCATCCTAAGAGCCATTTCTTCCTCCCTCCAAAACTACATCCAGGCTAAGATCCATAGGGGAAATAATGCTTCTCCAGCCCTACACTAGATATCATCCCCTCCCTCAGTCCCTAACTAGGTAGGGACAGCTCTACGCCCCACCTGAGCAGGAAGAAGCTACAGAAGAATGAGATCAACCTCCCTCGTCAGCCCCAGTTCACAGAAGGAAAATAAAAGGTTAGAATGCTAGGCATATTCTGAATCATTCCCCTGCACTCAGTTCTTTTCCATTATACCCCACTTGGATCTCCTGCTCTCTGCGGTTTTCCTGTTATTCTTATTTCAGGTGTCACAGAGAAAGCTGACCGGCTGAGAAAATCGGCTTTAGACCTGACTTCCTGCACCTGCATCTGGTTCCTGGGGACCTTCACAAGACACAGATATCCCACCCTCCCTACTCTTGCTTGCTGACACGGATATACTGGTCTCAGCCCACTGTGAGAGAATGTAATAAAATTTCTTAAACTCTAACAAGATCTCTTTGCCTGCCTCCTGTTGGTGCGGACTTAACACCACCCACTGCTCTTAACTCATGGCCTTGTCTAGAGTGAATTGAGGAGCCATGATCTTTATGGAGTTCTCACAGTTATCTATCTGTGCACCTCAATATGCAGACATTGGACAACCTTCTTTCACAGGCTTTTGAATTAGAAGGCTGTGCCTGTAAGGAATGCTATTTTTTATTTGGAGCCTTGCTTGCTTGCACATTTTACAAAAACCTACAGTAGATAGAAGGAAAATGAAGTCGAGGGGAACTTGTTTATGACTGGTCTTCAGTTCCAATCCCTAGCAAGAGTACAAAAAGAATTACCTCTAGCCCAAGACATGATGAAAAGAATTGGATATTTATTTTCTATTATTCCTGAGAAGATAAAATGGTACATATGTTACAAATGACTTTCATTATTATAAGTGAATTTAGCAGTTCCATAGCAAATGACCTGATTGAAAATCATTTCCTTTCCCTTATTTAAACCCTTAGCATCTGGGACACAGCTCCATTAATTTTATGCCCTCACCTACTCTAGTCTCCTAACTTAAATGATGGCATTCAAGCCTGCCTTGGGGTTCTACGTTTTTCTCTTATCCTGAGAGTAAATTCATTTTTACTTTCTACTTGGCCCTTTATATCAAAATAAAAAATTAGTGAGTTTTCCTATGTAATAAATATTAAGGTCTTATGTAATAAAAGAAAAAAAGGCCTTATAAAACCGCATTTCCAGCTACCACCCTTTTTCTCTACTTTTATAGCCAAATTTTTGAAGTTTTTAATTGCTGCCTCCATTTATCCCAAACTCAATTTGATTATTCTTTTGGTTCTGCCTTGTTTATATCTCAAAATAATTTACTTATTTATATTCCTACTCTGGTCCAAGCCATGATCACCTCTCCTTTGACAATTTCCTGTCCTTCCTACATTCACTTTTGCCCTCCAGTCTTCACACAGCAACTAAAATGATATTTTAAAAACTCAGATCTCATGTTAAGTCCTTCCTTAAAAATCACAAAGGTTTTCTCCTTAAAGTCCAGTTATCACCACTATGGTTTATATATGGTCCTATGGAATCTGACTCCTATCTTAATTGTCTAACTTACCCTGGCTTCCTTATGCCATAACCATAAGTTTGTTTTTATTGCTGTGAAGTTCCTATGACTTTATCAACTTACCACACTCTGCCTGAAACATTTCTCTAGGGTTCACCTTACTGCTGCTCTCATCTTTTAGGTTTCAGCTTCATCTCACTTTGTCAGAGAAATCTTTCCTGGTCCTCCCAAAGTAGGTTAAGTCTTCTAGATATATGCTCTCATTGTACCTCGTAATTTTTCTGTGGCTTTCATCATAGTCATTTACTTGACATTTATCTTCCTTGTTAGATATAGACCTCATAAGGATTTTTGTCCTGTTCAGTGATTAATTCCCAGCACTCAGCTCCCTCCCTGGGGATACTAGGCATTCATTCATTTACTGAATGGTTGAAAGAAAGGGCATATTAAGAATATAAAACATGATAAAACAAATGCTGTAGAGTGAGAACAGACCTTTTTATTCATATACTGAGATAAACTTCAGAGACTGAAAGAAAAAAATCAAATCATTCAGAACATTCATTAAAATTCATTCTTTAACAGAGTTCTCACAAAAAATTTAAGTCTGATATAACATTAAATATTTTACAAATCAGACATTTCATTTAAATCTAATCTTATAATCTTGAGTGCACTATAGACAACGATTTCCTTTACCAGTTTCACTTCATTTAACTAATACAAGGCTTCCATTAAAATCCTACCACACCTTGAAAATTACCTGCAGCTTTTAAAGACACATGACTTAAACTTAAATGGAAAGTCTTATGTAGCAATTCAAAAACAAAACAAACACAAAAATAGGTAAGAAGCATTTCTTAATACAAATAAATTATAAAATATCATTTATGTGTGAGTTTATTCTCATTGGCATAGTTATCCAACTAAAACAATTCATTTTGAAATTGGTGCTTAACATACTCCAATGTCACTGGAAAATGCCTATCATTTTAGAAGTGCTCTTAAATGGCAACTCTCAGATGGGAAAGTCCCGACTCCTGTGCTGAAGTGAAGGAGACTTGTTCATATTCATGCCAGGCGTCATCTGTTATGCAGTTACTAGACAGCTTGGCAACCAACCAGTAATCCCAATTTTCAATAACATACTAAACTAAGACATTCCAAGAAACACTTCTTACCACCTACATATTTCCAGATTGCTAGATATAGAAGACACAATTATATTTGAAGTATGGGCCTTACAATAGGAAACTTGAAAATATGAAAAATATTACACCAATGAAAGAATTCCCACCAATGAAATTCTGTGAACTGCTTTCAAAGAATATCCACGGCTAATGGAAGCTCTGCTCTGTGCAAACATAGTGTGGTATAAAATAATCACACATTTGAGGTATTAGCTGGAAAATATATACAACTATACATGGACACATCCACAGACTATTCACAAATCTATTGGCCCCCAAACCAGCAGATAATAAAATAATCACGTACCACAGGAAAAAGTTACAGGGAACTTACAAAAAAATGTGGTTACATAATCCTTAATATAAGGAGTATGTTTTGAATTGATGTTTGAGGGAAAATGTTTCCATTTATATGAAAGTACCTATTTAAATAGTAATAAAACCAAAAAGGAAACCTGAATTCTAGGACTGTATTGCCTCCCAGATTATTAAAGAAATATGCAAGAATTCCTTGAAGATCCTCTTCTACCCACTTTTTCTTTGTAATTAAAAAATACAATTAAAAGATTTTGGGAAGTTATTATCAGATGACTCCTCTTCACTGGTTTATAGAAAAATTTATGGATTTTAACTAGGCAGTAATCCATTGTGGCCAAAAGACAAGCCTTTTTAGCTATTTAGGAAAGATTAAAATTCTGGTTCATTGTTCATTTTTGGAAGTTTTTCTATTCTAATAAGAAAAAAGATTATGAATGCCATTTTAGTTTGCTTCACTTAGTATAAAGACAGTTATATGGGTAGTAGTAAACCCAAGCTTCATATGGGGAAGCTAAATAAACGCACTAATTTTCCTTTTGAACCACTTAGTCCTCTGACTTAATACTTACCGAACTGGAAAAAATGGCTAATTTGGTCCTCAGGCCAACATCAAAAAATATTTCACTGCCTTAATAAAAGTGGGAAATTTACTTTTAATGAATATGTAGGAATCCATTATTAGGTAATATTAACATGTCAAGGGTATTAACAGCTGCACTTGAAAATAATGGAGACCAACAAAGGAAATCAAGATGTTAATCATATTTCTTGGTAACTACTTTACATACTAGTGTAACTGAAGAGTTAACAGGAAGAAAACTTAAGCATAAAAGTGCAATTAAAGTAAAGGGCTGGAATTTTACATTCCTGTTCCTGTGAACACCTGAGCTGATACAAAGGCAGACTGGCTTAATGCCTTGGCATATATATGCCTTAAGGACCTTTTCTCTACCAAATCTTTGTAAATCATAAGTAAGCATGTAATGATTATGAAACAACTACTTATTTAAGCATTCAAATGCAATCTGTTTCTAAAATTATTGTTTTCATTTATTAGATGGATTATACTTTGAAATTTCTCATTGTTGAGAATTATCATTTCATTAAAATAAATTCTGAAACGTACAAATGTCTAGCACCTGTCTAATTGAGAACTAAGGAATAAAAAAAAAATAGAAGAAAAGGTATTATTTACTTTCCCCCACATCCTCACAAGGATAATGTTTATGTGTGTGTTGTAAAGAAGGATAAAAATGTAAATCATTAATAAATATACTTGCTGCCAAACTTCTAAAATACCAGTAAGAAAAGCTAGTAAAGCAATACTTAAAGAGGGCTATTAGGCAATGATTAAAATGAACAGTACAAGTTTTCAAATTAAATTGCAAGGCTCATGTAGGTAAAACTAAGATGACAAAATGTTGGATTTTTAAAAGTAGCAAAAAATATGAAAATCTTACATCTTAACACATTGCGGGACCAGTAGTTTTATTGCTAGCTTTACCCAGTGACCAGATAAGTTCCTATTGAACGAGTACAAAAAATGTTTTACATAAATGTTAAAGGCATGCTTTAAAATTAAATACCCATTGCATTTTGAAGTTATTTATTACATGTTCTTACAAGCTAACATCTTTTTAAAGTATGATACTTTGTAAAACATTGTGTAATATGAAGCGAGAATTCTCATGATCCGTCCGCAATGTGTTAAAATAGCTAACGTCTTCTTATTTTGTAGAATTAACCAAAAATTCTAACACTTGGCTGGGCCTTTACACCATGATACAGGTAACATTAAGGACTTAATCTTTATTTGCATATTTTATATGTAGCTTATGCTGTCAGGCACTCAGTCATTTCCCACGGTTCGAAAATTTTATCAAACACATTTCCCCGAACGTTTTATGAAATATAATAGAATGTAGAAAAGAAACTGAAATGTAATACTGTCCAAAAGCCATGTAGGACTTGTTACCACAATCGTGTAAATATCCCAGTAAAATGGAAAAATAGCCTAGCTGGTTTGGCTCAGTGGATAGAGCGTTGGCCTGCAGACTGAAGGGTCCCAGGTTCGATTCCGGTCAAGGGCATGTATCTTGGTTGCTGGCACATCCCCAGTAGGGGTTGTGCAAGAGGCAGCTGATCGATGTTTCTCTCTCATCGATTGTTTCTAACTCTCTATTCCTTTCCCTTCCTCTCTGTAAAAAAAATCAATAAAATATTTTTTTTAAAAAAGGAAAAATAAATGGATGAAAATCTTCATAAGTTTTCTGATGCATATGAACTTTCAAAGTTAATTAGAATGCTGTGGCCTTTTAAAAAAATTCATTGTACAGGCTCAAGAAAATATTTGAAATTGTATTTCTTTTAAGCACTGCTATTTTTTTTTAAAGGTGGCATTTCTAAAAGAAAGTTAAG